TTGTTCTCACAGGGCCAACCTCAAAGCTAAAGCAAGTGCCTTCCCCAGCTGGCATTTTGCTCTAAGCATTAGCTCTCTTCTTTGCCCTGCTTTTGCCATTGCACAAAGCCAGTTTGCTTCCCCGTTGACAGGAGAGTTGCAGCTCTGTCCTGCTAGTGCTGTGTCATTTGCAGGCAGACATCTGGGCACTCTCTCTTGCCCTTTCCAGAGATGTGCCCAGAAAATGGCAAGCGGGCTGGCGTGCTTATGCCAAGTGCACATCACTTCCTTTGTTGTCCATGACACTGAGCTGGCGTTAGCAATCACACTGCTCTCCCTGGCACATGGGCTACTGCAAATGCCAAAAGCTTACAGAAGCTCAAAGGGCAATGCGAGAAGTCTGCAGAGCATAGCTAAGTACACAGAAACCTGGTCTGGCTAGGAAACCCCTGAGGCACAGATGCCTGGGGCTGGGAGAGGATCAGTTGGAAATAATGTCTATGTGCCCATCCTCCTACTCCAAGGTGCTTTTGGCAGTTGTCACAAGAAGAGGCCATGCTGGCCGGTCATTGGGTCTGATGGGGTGTATCAGCTCTTCTTTTGTGCCCCATTACCAACCAGGACTTTTCCATGGGCTATTGTAACTAAGGGTTATGTGGGAACGTTCTGATAAAAGACCTTTACGGTTCGAATGAAATATCGTGGTTTGAAATGAGTCCTGACGGAGAGCATTGGACTAGGAGTGAGGGCAGAGCTTTGTATGCCAAAGTTACCAACCTTCTTTCGTTGCTGCTGGGTGTCTGCAAGAGGAGAAGAGCTGGAGCTGCAATTCTGCAAGATGTGTTTTATTCTTTGATTTCCAGTACACGGAAATGAGATGAAACTCATTCCCTCAGCGATTGCTTTGACTACAGACTCAGAGAGGTGCAGTTTCTGGTACGGAAGTGCAGACAGTTGGATGGGCCCTCAGTCTTCATGCCAAAGCAGGGTTTCTTTAGCTCAGGTGAAACGGACCAGCAGCAGCTGTGCTTTGCTGCAAACTTGCTCCATGGTATCACTGGGGGTCCCTGCAGGAGGCAGGGAGGAAGGGACAGGGAGGTGTGTCAAGGCTGGTGGTTTAGACCAACACAGGACCCCACTCATTCAAATGTGTTGGAGAGATTCTCCAGAAATTGCTTTTTCCCACCTGCAGTGGGGTTGAGGGTCAAAACAGAAAGAAAAAATCCATCTTTTTCAAGGGCTATGGTCTTGCACAGTCATGGGATATTGAGTGTTTGGCTCCTGGAGACATCAGATTATGGCACATACACCACTGTCAGCCCCAAATCAAAGCTGATTCTAGACCTCTGTCTAGAAGGGACATCTTGGAAACACCATCTAGATTGACCACAGATTCTCACAAGGAGAAGAAAATGTTTAATGGTTTAATCTTCTGATTTTTCCCTCTGTCTCATGGATTTGGGACTCCTGGTTCCTGGCCCTGCAGTGACTGAGCACCGGGGGTTTCAGGGTGATACTCAGTGTCCCTCTGGTTTTCTGTTGTACAAGCACTATCACAGTTTGTGCTGAAAGAGCCTCTGGGTCACAGGAGAGAGAGATTTTAAATCCAAATTTCAGTGTGTACTTGCGCTGTCAAGACTTTGGGTCTCTTCAGCCCACTGTGTCTAGCTGGTAAAGTCCAGGGGCAGCTCAGGAGAGCTCAGTGCTGCAGTCAGTCCACATTGCTCTGTGAGCCTTAGCCAAGCTGTCCTGGCTCTGCCAGCCACCCACCTCTGCCTTGTTCCCACCATGTCTTGTAATGCAAGAAAATAGCCTCACACAGCAACCCGTACCTCTGAAAAAGAGGACTGTGGGCAGCAGGCTGATAGAGCTGCACCCTGAATGCAGCAGGAGCACAGGACTAGGTGAGGGCACCAGGAACACAGGCTGAATTCCACAGACTCACAGACAGCCCCATGGTAGCTTGTTGCTGCCCACATCCTCACAGCCACCTCTCTACAGCAGATCTGCCTGGCAGAGGAGTGAGAAGCAGAGACCATATTGAAGGGTCCAGGAAGAGCAGGGTGACATGAGTGCACATGCTAGATTACTGTAGAAAGCAGTCCTTACTTTGAGGCAGGATAAATTGTGCAGTTGCCTGATCCTCCTCCTTCTCTACTGATCAAACACTGCCACATGGCCACATGCGTGCAGGACCCTGCAGAGGGGGGTTGTAGCAGGCAAAAGGCAGTGTGATGCAGATCAGGCATGCTCTAAGAATAGCTTGTGTTATTTTCATATACTTGCTGTTTCTCAAACACCATTAGGAGGTAATCCTTTTCTCCGGGATTGCAGTCTCATCCCAGGGACAAATTTGCCTCAGCAATTCTTGCTGATTGGAGATTCATACAGAGAGCGGACTTGGCATATGTTCTTCCTGCCCTTTTTCCTAACAGCCTTTTACAGCAGAAACAGCAGCAGCACACATCTACCTAACACAGGGCACTTGTTCACCCCCTAGAATGATCACTTGGAAAACTGCATAATAACACCACCTCCTGGCAGTGGCACTTTATGCCCCATTATTCTGCATTATTCAAGGAAGTCCTATTGGTGTTGGGTCTAAGTATCAGAAAAATCTTTTGTAATTGGCACCCCAGTTTCTTTTCATAAGAGAGAGAATTATTTTGTGGGGCTTTGAGGTATGCCACACACAGCAAGCCAGAGCACACCCACAGGCAGTTTACATCCTGATACCTTGCTGTTCTCAGAATTTAAGGCTGCATCCCTTTTAATTAACTTTCCTGAAAAAAGTTATTTTTTCATACATGAGGGCAGGATGAGGTGTACATTTCAATAGGATTTGTCAGGAGAATTATTGATTTTGTTAGTAATGTTTCTGAAATTGTGCCATTCCGGTAATTCTGCCAGGTTCTCCTTGAAAGCTTAGCTAAGAGCATTTTTATATCCTTCATTAGTTTTTTTAATACACGATAATTTCCCCTAACTCATCAACGCAGAGCAAGATCAGCTGCGTGCTTGGTAATCATTTTTCCTGTGTACAAACCTATTGCAGCAATAATTACAAACTGGACAAATTATTACAGATATTCATTATAAAATACAATTACACTGAGCAGTGCTGCATTGTTACACTTTTCACAGCCATCACTTGCTCTTGAGTAAATGGTTTCATTATGAGCATGAAGGGCAAACTTAATACACTCCTGACTCACAGCAAACAGCACAAGAAATCATCCTGGCTGTTCCTCGGAGTGCTTGCGGTGTTTACCACGAATGAGTAGAAAATGTTGACTCTGCTGCCAAATACTTGTCAGCTTAACAGAGGGGCTCTGGGTGGCCAGTGCAGATGTGCAAGGAGGGGAGAAAGCCAGAAATTACAGCAGCGTGGCCTGAATTTCACTCCCCTAGAGCGTGGCTTTCTTCCATGTTTATGGGTTTTCAGTGCTGGGACCTGCCAGGAGCAGCAGAACCTCCTTGATCATGTATTAGGGCAGCCTTGGGGCTGCTTCAGCCTGTGCTGGCTGCTCGTGGAAAGTGCAGAAGAGCCAGGGATGGGACAAGAAACATTTCTTCAAAGGACAAGACAGACAAGCTTGGGCAGGGAGAGAGTAACTGGGAAGCTTCTTTAAGAGCATTCACAGGAGGGCAGTGCTGTCAAGTGTTGGGGGAAAGCAAACCCAGTCAGAAGGTCAGCAGCAAGCACAGGGCACTGCCCTGGCTTTTTAGTGTTGTTATTCCTTCTTATTTTTTGTCTGGGACAAGGTCAGAGCCAGGAGGAGGCCCTGTCCCATCAGCAATGCCATGAGTGCATGACAGTGAGCAGAGCATTCCAGGGCAGAGCAGAGGCTGCTGGATTTCTGTCTCATATGTTGTCTTTTCAAGGACTTCGCACTGTAGGAAGGATCACAGTAGCACAGCCCCCCACACCATACCCCTTGTACCCCAGGTTTGGTCACCTTCTGGTGAGCAGCTTTCAGCTGGATGTTTCTGGACTGCTTTCAGTCCCTGAAAAGACCTGAAAAACTTCTTCTGTGCTAATTTTTTTCCCCTGGTAAAACAATTTTCACTTTATTGGGTGCTCAAGGAGCAAACCTCTCTGTGGGTGGCCACAGCCTCCTGCAAGGCTTTCATCTTCTGTGATGTGTGCTTGTGGCTATGCTCTGGGCAGGGACTCTGCCTTTGGACCTGTCCTGATGATGCTGCAGGGGCAAATTCAGCAACCCTGGGTCATATGAGGGAGAATTGCTGCTCAACTCTTGAACAGGAGAAAATTAAACCTTGAAGGCTTGGGAAAGGATATGCTGCTTGTGAAGTAAAATTAAAAAAGTAAAATCTCACCATCAGAGAAGCTTTCCATCACCCTGCTCTAACCAGAAAGACCGTTTTTCCTTTACATTCTCTTCACAGAAAAAGTCCTACTCCAACATCTCTTTCAAGCTTGTAAATTAGAGCCTCCAAAGTCCAAACTGAGCAACTGAACATGATGTTGTGCATGGATCTGCTGTGCCTGGTGAGACAGAGTCTCTTCCATGCACAAGCTTGAGCAGTGCATCATGCTTTCAGAGGCTTGGTCTGTGCTTGTTCCCAGTTCTCATGCCCATGCAGCGTGTGCAAGCTATCAAGGGGCTGTTCTATACCCTAGGTTTTTGGAAAGGGGCATGTCTTGCTGCCCCCACTGCCCCCCCAAGGCACTTCTAGGGGAAGCTGGCCCAGGCTGTGTTGGCCTATGGCCATGCCAGGGGGGATGGCACCCTGCAAGAGGCTGGTGCTCTGACCCTGTGGTCTGTGCTCATCCTGAGGCAAGCTTGGCCCATTGGCTCCTGCCTTTGCTTTTGGCTGTGCTGTCCCTCCAGCCTGTGCTACCAAAACCACTGTTTTCTGTTCGCAGCCCCCTCCTCCTGCTGTTTCCATCCTCCTCTTCCTCCTCTTCTACCTTTTCTTCCTCTTCCTCTCCCTGTTTCCCCTCCTCCCTTTTCCCCCCTTACTCTTGAATCTCTATTTCTTCTTCTCTGTTGCAGCAAAACGATATCAATCAAGGTGATAGATGATGAGGAGTATGAGAAAAACAAGACCTTCTACCTAGAGATCGGGGAGCCCCGGCTGGTGGAGATGAGTGAGAAGAAAGGTGGGGGACGTGCTCCGGGGCTGAGCCCAGCCTGTGTGTCCCTGTCTGGCTCACTCATGTCTGGCACCTGCAACACTGAGCTCACATCCCCAGAGCCTATGGAAAAGGGCAGGAGCAAGACCACTTCCCATTCCCTCTGTGGCCTTTCCCTAGCTCACCAAGGTACAACCTTGTCCAGGTGGTGGGGATGCTCCTGCCCTTCCCCATATGCCCCAGGAGGGATGTGCAGCCGCTTTCCCCCACCCAACCATCTCTGTCACCACGGCACCCGGGCGGACGTGAACTGCATGTGTGTGCAATGCCAATCATGTGTTTGCCTTTGTCTTGTGTTCCCACAGGAAATTCATTACCCTTAGAGTACTTGACCGTGAGGAGTATGAGAAAGAGTGCAGTTTCTTCCTTGTGCTTGGGGATCCAGTGTGGCTACGACGAGGAGTGAAAGGTGTGAGAGTAAAACCAGACCAAGCTCTCGAGACGCTGCCGTCCGCTTTCTCTGTGTCTTCCTACTCTCACACTCCTTTCTCCTCGCACTTTGGCTCCTGGCCGTTTTGCCCTCCCTCCTCTGAATCTTGGCCGCTGCACCTTTTTGCTCTGTTTTCTTTCCTCTGTTGTTTTGAGAGGATTCTGTCTCACTCACCAGGGCCCCTGGGGAGCAAGGTGTGCTCCCAGGATGGCCCCGGAGCACCTGGGCAGGGGACAATGAGCATCGCCAGCCCCCAAAGATGTTTTGAGAGTAACTGCCCTGCCACATTGCAGCTACACCTTCGTTTAATCACGTAGAACGTTCAGTCGTGACAAGTAAAAAGGCAACGCTGCATCATTTTTATCAGAAGATAAAACAGCTTTCACTTGAAATCAAATGCATGGCCAGAGCAGTAATTTTAGCCTTTTTATGCTGGCACTAGAATCTGAAAATAGCCGAAAATTACAGCACAAGCAGGTAGTACCATGAGGTGCAATCAGTTTAGGTAAATCAGGTTATACTCAAATGAAGTTTCATAGCTCTGCATTGGATAATAGCTTCTCACAGGAATAATAAAAACAATTTCATCTTTCATCATATTTCTGAACCAACTGCAAGACTTCCCGAAAAGGCAGAGTTCACCTATTTTCCCACGCGTTTTTTCTGCTAGAAAATAGGGTGAAAATTAATGGCAACAGCTAGTTCTGCATGCTATTCATGGCTGAGTAAGAAGCAGTTTTTAGAGTCACTTAAGATATGGACCATTATTAAAGCCTTTGTAGCAAATTGGCAGCCTCATTTGCTCTGTCTGCCTTGGAGCTGCTTTCTAGTTTCTGGGACATCAGCGCTCCCTTCAGCAGGCATGGGGCTGTAATATATTATTTGATCAGGACAGAGAGGGCCCCCAGTGGTCCCCCCACTGAGTGGGGACTTGCCACGTTCCTCTTCAGCTCAGGTACTGTCTAGGTCAGCTGCATCATCCCCTCCATCAGCTTTCCTGCTGGTTTATGTGACCAAATCAGACACACTGGCATGACTCAGGCACTGCAGGTGGGGTCTGTATCATTAAATGCTGCTGGTGGCATCTATGGAGCATAGAGAATGTTGCCAAGATAAATTTACACGTGGACAACTCAACTCAGCAGCTCCAGCCTTGTCCAGCTTCACAAGGGCCAGTGTGGGCTCAGCCTTGCAAGTCCAGCAAAGGCAAATATGCTTTTCAGGGCCAAGTTTGAGAATTGTGGTACTAACTCCGTCGATCCCAGCTGAAAGTTTTAGCTAAAAATAAAAGGAAAAGGAAATAAAGTTTTTCATTTTCCTGGTCACAAAGATAACTGAGAAAAACTGAGAGAAGCTGAGCTTTGTGAACTCACTGGCTGGAAGACAAGTCAGAATTTTAAGGGATGCTATTTGCTGCTTTGGCCATGCAATCTTTTTTATTTTTAACTCGTTTCTTTGTACTTGGTTTTGTACAAAGGGCAGCGAGGCAGGGGTAATGGTGACAAGGGCAGCCTGGAGATAAGGGCATCTCTGAAATGTCACCCCTGGGCCACAGAGCTGTGTTGGGGTCTGCATCTCAGGGGCAAGAGACCCACCCGGGCACTAAGCGAGAGGAGACCTAAAATGTTGAGCAACAAGATCCTCGAGCCAAGCCTTGCCACAGACTTTTGTTCTCTCATTGCACATGACAAAAGTACAGCTGTATGCTGGAGCCATTGCTCCCCATTAGACAGCTGGAGGAGGTCAAAGCCAGTAGCTGCTGCACATGGGACATCTTGTGTCCTCCCCTGGGGCAGAACTGCCTCCGAGACCAATGGAAGATCTTGCACATAAAATTCAAAGGGGGAAAATTAATTTTTGGAGTGTGTCTTTTAATCCCATATCCACCCCATGTTTGCAGTGGTTTTTATTTTAAATCCACAATCCCATGAAACCTTTCTGTTCCTTCATTTTTAGTGCCTTTCTCTTAACACTAATGGTATCCTGCAGCTTTACAGATCTTAAATCTCTGCCCTGGGATCTGGTGTCTTTCTGTGGATATCCCTTTTGATTTCATTATTCATTTACTTTTCTTCTTCTGTGTTTGTCTCTGTCTCCTTCACAGCCCTGTTGTTGAATGAGCTTGGTAAGCGCGCATTCATTTTTCCTTTCCATTTTTCCAGTTTGCCTATTTTCAGAAGACAATTGATTTTGCTTGAAGTTTTTCTTTGCTCGCAGCATTCTCTTTTAGGGTCGTCAGCACTATTTAAGTAAACTCAGGTATCTAATGCCCCATCTCTCCTTAGAGTAGAGCCCCAAAGTCACCAATATTAATGAGTGGTAATCCGCTGTGGCAAAAGGAGCATTTTTTGGGGGTGGTTCAGTTACGGCCATAGTATACCTGCCAACACACCATGATACAGGCTTGTGGCATCCAAATTAACCCATCCCCTCTAACACTGGTGTGGCAGAAACAAGATTTCTTGGAGACTTAGGGATGCTTGTGGCCGGACAGGAAAATTGGCCAGTCCTTTTTTAAAGAGACAGTGCAAACTGCCTCCTGTCTTGGGAAGATTCAGAGCCTACCCAGCCTTTGCAATTCCTTGCTGACCATTTCCAGGATAGGACAGCTGGGAAGGGAAGCAAAGCCATCCTCTTTCCCCAAAGCACCCACAGCCCCGGGGCAGACTCACTGTGGTTTTACCCCCTCCACAGCATATATTGGATACCAGGGGGTGGCAGATTGCAGATGTGGGTTGAAAAGCCTGTGTTCAGGTCTCCCCACACTATCCCAGGGGTACATGTTGGGAAGCGGCCTCCATGTCCACAGTTCCTGGCCATGGAGCAGGGAAGGACCACCTTGTGGGCTGCAAGGTGTCCGTGTTGCTGTGTGAATGCTAATCCTCATTTATTTTCTCTCTCTCTCTCTCTCTCTCTCTCATTTTTGGTTTCATCTAGGTGGCTTCACCATCACAGGTATGGATTTCTACTCTTCCCCCTATCCCCCCCTCCCTTTCTCTTAATGGCCATATGCTCACCCTGCTCTTTCCTCTTGGTTTCCTCTTTGCTTTTGTTCTGTCCTGGAGGGAAACTCTGGAATGGTAAGAAGGTGCTGAGCTGCGGCCCCACTGCCCCGGCCGGTCCCTCTAACACAGTGTCCTCTCACAGAGTGCTCTGCCTGCCACACACACCTAACTCCACCTCAGGGAGGGTGAGGTGTCACTCCTGAAGTGACAAGCAGCCCCACTTCATCTCTTGGAGCAAGGTGGACTTCTCCACTTGATCCAGTTTCCCCTCCGTGCTGCCCACACCGGAGGTGTGCACAGGGCTCTGTCCTCCCCAGGCAGCCACCAGGGTGCCCAAGCACTGCAGGAGGGGCAGGACCCCATGGCTGCTTTAGCCCCTGCCCTTCCCACCAGCGAGACCCAGCAGCAGGGCTTGCTCCTCTGTCATTAGCCAGCCAAGCATCTGTCATTCAGCCAAGCACTGCAGGATGAGAAGATCCTGGGTCCCACACATTGCAGAGCAGCCCCTCAGGAGCCCTGGAAACAGCAATTCAGACCTGGGAGGCTTTGGCAGTGAGGTGGGTCCCTTTGATGAGCAGGAGGAGAAGGGCTTTCCTGCAACTCATTGCTGTCTGTGCAGATGAGGGGCAGCCAGCAAGGGAGCAACACTAACCCCGTGTGACGTAGGAATAGTTTACTAACTGCATGGTGACAGTTTGCACAGGGTGTGCAGTCCCTCCTGCTGATGTCCTGCTGATCACTTTGATAGGCAAACCCATCTTCAGGAAGGTCCAGGCTAGAGATCATCCTCTTCCTTCCACCGTGGTCTCCATCCAAGGTACCTATAGCGTGACACCTGAGGGCCACATCAATCCCATGTGGACTGACTGTGGTTTTTGCCTACTGACAGTTTAACTCCAGTCCTTTTAGTCCTGACATTCTTCTGCTCATCTCTCGAGTGGACTGGAAGGGAGTTCACCTGGGTCTGCATAAGGGACAGTGACAAAGGCCATGAGCTGCAGTCCCCATGCCCCAGAGGTTGCAGGGATGCCAGTGGAGGTGCAGACCGGCTTCACTGCTCATGTAGTCCCTCTCCTGCTGCCTCTCTCAGGGTTTGGGGCCAGGCACTGGCCTTTGGATGACTCCTCACACCTGTATGGCCCAGTACTATTTCCTCCAGCCCCACCATCGCAGCAGGATTTGACTGCCAGCTTCCTCTCTGAGGCAAAGCCCTGCTCAGAAGGAGGCAGAGTCAAGATTTCATATGCATCTCAGCCCTGGGGCTGCTCGTAGCTCTCTCTTGTTGTAACAGGCTGATGGAATTGTCCTGACCGTACCCCACTGCAGACCTGGAGTGCTGGGAAATGGAGTGGCCTTACTGATAATCTTTCCCCTTCCCAGCATCCCTGTGGAGAGGCAGCGGGTACCAGGCAAAAAACTATTCCCCACCACTAAGGATGAACGGGACTCCTTCTGAGGTTGGATGAGTTGCAGAGCTCTTGCTAGCGCTTCTCCCTAAAGCCATCTTGTCTATTGCTCCATGACCTCCTTCTCCACTGTTCTGTCGCTCATGCTCCCACACGGAGGCTTCCTGACCTCCCCTCTGACAGGAAGCCACATCCAGAGAGTGATCAGCTGGGCCTGGTTCGCTGATGGGCTCTTTGCTTTGCAGAGGAGAATGAGGAAAAGCAGCCACTGACCAGCAAGGAGGAGGAGGAGCGTCGCATCGCAGAGATGGGGCGCCCAGTCCTGGGGGAGCACACCAAACTTGAAATCATCATTGAGGAATCCTACGAGTTCAAGGTACTGTCCACATCCTCTGTCCCTGTTCTTCTTCCCCTCTGGCTGGGGCCCTCTCCTTTTGGGTTGGCACAGCATTGGCAAGCACATGTTGATGGTATTGCAGCAAAGCAAGGCAACGCGTGGCATCACAAGGTCTCAGAGCAGGACCAAGGGACACTTTGGAAGGTGACTGAGCCAAGGCATGATGAAAGGCTGAGAGTCACTACAGTGAGATGGCAGTGGGTTAAAATACACTCTGCACCTTCACTGTCCGTTTTAGCCCACAGCCATGGTCCTTCAGGGACTTTCTGTCCCACCCACAGACTCTTTGTGGTTGTTATTATTACGCTAGAACATCAGTCTGGTGAGCCTAAGAGCTGACTGAGCTCCAGAATGCTGCAGGTTGCTTTAAAACATAACCTTGTTCTCACGGTGGTGTGCTACACACAGGTCCTACTTACAAGCCTAGGACTCCCAGTGCAGAGGGCTGATACCCTAAGTGCAAGTAATGATTATGCAGCTCAGCTGCCATGAATGCATGTGCCAGACCGAGAGCTGAAAACCGGCCATTTAATTCTTTTCCACTTTTCTGAAGTATAAAAATATAACAGACCACCCTTACTGTGCTTCTGAGAGGGTTCAAATTCCCATCATGAGCAGGCTTCAAAAGGTCTTTTTTAGCAGCAGAAAGGAGAGTTGCTGTTTTTGGTGCTGAAGCTGTTGACCTGAGCTTAAAATCTGCTAAGCTTTTTCTATAAATGCATGGCTGTAATCACTAGTGCGAGTGGGTTTTAGCCTTGATAGTCCCTAATTCTCTCCTCTGCATCTCCATCCACAGAACACAGTGGACAAGCTCATTAAGAAGACAAACCTGGCCCTGGTGGTTGGCACAAACAGCTGGAGGGAGCAGTTTATTGAGGCTATTACTGTCAGCGCGGGTGAGTTTGGACCACAGCTCCAGGTGAATTACAATCAGCCTTGCTCACATCTCGGCTTGGCTGCATCAGTAATACAGGCGGTGGAGGAGCAGCAGGAGGCAGAACAGGCAACAGAGTTATTTACAGTATCTGCATAAATAAGACAGCTGATTAAACCCTTTTGTAAGAGCACCTTGTCTTATGTGTAGGAAACCTGATGCATTAAGTGTATCTGTAGTGCTGGACAGAGCAACACCCTGGCTGTCACCAGATGGCAGAGGGGAAAAGCAAGTTCAGTGGGAGAGATTTGGGAGAGGAATTCAGTGTCGAAATTCGGACAGGCACAGATGATGTTGGTGCCAGGCAGCAGTGCTCCCCATCCCTGCTTCTCCCTGTACCACTGCACTGAGGGCAGCGCAGTACTGAGGGTGCCAAGCCCTGAAGACAGTGACTCTCTGAGAGCCAAAATTTATCCTTGACACCCTCTGCTTTCAGGAACTCCTGATGCTCCAGCCACCTGTGGCTGGAGGTTTATGGCTCAGCATCCCAATAACTGCAGCAACATGTAGTTATCTGTGGTTGGGTCTGATCATATCTGATCATATCTTCCCTCTATTGGAGAATTGTCTTTCACTCAGAAATGCCCTGTTGTACAGTTCTCTCAGGTGCCAGTCCATGTTTACCAGTATGCCCAGTACAGGATATATTATTGTTCCCACATCTGTGGAAGATGAAAGAAAGATCTCCAGATGTTGTTTTAACAGACGGAGAGACAATAACTCACTGACTGGATGTTACAACCTCCCAGCCCAGCCTGGGCTCTGTGTGCACACATTAGGGCAAAATCAACCAGTTGAAATTAAATCTCTGGGGAAGGCAATTAGAGCTCATCCAGCTAATTGTGCATTGAAATGCATGGGGGAGCACTCACATTTCCTACCTCGAACTCAGCTATACAAGGTAACGTCTGCCCAGCACAGAGTAATTAAAAGTGATGGCCGTCCCATTTAACCTCTGCCTCTGAAAACAAGGACAGGACATTGTGCAGCAGCTATCTCTTCAAATTGTGATCCCTTCTGTTGTAGCATAGTTTTTCTCAGAGCCTCCAGGCAAGAGCCTCCCATTATTTTGGATACAGCATGAACATATCATGCAAGACAATCCTTGCTGCAGGTTTTCTAGCTAACGTGGCTAAACTAATCTATGCCAGAACCAATTATTTAATTGCATCCCATATTAAGGCAAAGATAATCACTGATGCTTGGATCCCATTTCTGTGACACATGTAAAGACTACAGTTATGTGAAAGCCCTGTTGCCACTATGTCTTGAATATATAGTCATGATCAATGCTAACAGGATAATTTACAAACATTTAATAAATGGGACATATTTTGGTGGACATTAACTGTCCCTTGCAGTTGGGAAACAGTAGGTTGTCTCTGAGCTCTGGACATACCCAGGCTTTAGGTCCTCAACCTTTCTGCCAGACCAGTTAAAATGCCTTAGACATTGGAGGCTGAGTTTGAGGTTTTTCCCTGCAGCTCACCATGGGGAGTGGGTGAAAGTCACACATTCCCACTTCAAAATGTAACATCCCAGCTGAGAAAAGAAACATTAAAACCCCATTTCCCATCCAATGTGCAACTTACAGCAGTGTTTGCAGGGAGGCTGGGCCATGGAGTAGCAGGTTAAGCCTGTGGAAGGGCAGTGCAGGTGCAGGCACGACCGTGCCACACCATGCCGTGCCATTCCACACCATTCACAAGCCTCTCACCCATAGCTCCTTTCGTGTGCACCCAACAGCTGTAAAGCTTCTTCCACAGCAAAAACATCCTGGGGTTTTTGCGAGCCTGTTCCTGAATGCACCCCTGGGTCACCATCCGACCTCACTCTGCATTTCAAGTCACCTTCACAGGATCTGGCCAGCTCTTCAAAAGGGAGCTGCTCAACATAATGATGGACAGATGTGAATGAATGTTATGGCAGTGGCACTCATGTTCATTTTTCAATCTGTTTCATCATCTCCGTAAAGATTTAGGTCCATAATAGCCCTGCTGCCATGCAGCTTGGCAGGGGATTAAAATACCTGCTGCAAAATTATGGCATGAGCACAGCATAGTGTATCCTGCCAGTAGCAGCCTTCGTGCATTGAGGGAAAACATGGACCAATGTAGGCTTTCCAGGCTGGAAAACTTCACAACTATGCACAGGAATAGGTGCTTATATCTGCCAAAATAATAACACCATGCTGATGATTAGCTACTGCTTTTGTCATAGTGAGTTTGAAGCTTTGAAGCCAAGCAACACATAATTTTTCATCAAGTTATGGTAGAGACATCAGCAAAAGTGCTTTGAAGACAAGCATTGTCTGCAAAGCTGCACCCCAACAGGATGCTGAGTAGAACTTTTCCCTGACTGGTCATGGCTTTAGTTAGCCAAACATTGTAAACCTCCAAAGACGGTGTCCATTTGGCCTCCACTTTCTCAGGAAGGATGTCATGTCTTGTTTCCCTGGTTGACTTTTCACCTTTGTGATGAGGCAGAAAGCAGTTGTTGTTGTGAGCAGCAACAGAGCAAGCAGCTCACCAGCAGCTTCCCCCAATACCTCTGTTGTTGTGGCACAGAGCCACCATTTGAACACGGGGTTAGTTGACACCCACATGTTGGTACACAGCGTACAAGCAAGACCGTTTTATTCACCCCATGGGAGGCTTTATACATTTTGTTATTCCATCAGAGATCCACATTGTGGAGGAAGATGTGAAAGGAGGAATGTTCGCCCTGCCCAGCAGCAGGGCAGGTAAAAGCAACATGATCTCATTCGGAATGCTGGCCTGATTAGCACTGGGAGCTGCTGAGAGAAGCTGCTTTTCCCAGGCACAGAGCCAACATCCCCTTAAACCCTTGGGACCTTGTCCCCTCGCCCACTGTAGTGGAGCAAGAGCAGAGGCTCAGGTTTCACTGGGTGCTCTTAGCTACTCTGGGTCTTGGCCCCTTTTCTCTGCCATCCTGAGGTGTCCTCCCTGGAAGCAGAGCCAGATCCACTCAGGCTGTCTGATGGGGATGGACCATATATTGAATCCTTCCATTGGTAAGGAGCTCCTTCCAACAGCCGGGGAGATCTGTTAGTCCACATCCTTGGTGGGGAAAAAAAGTATCAAAGACAATAAAAAATCACCAAACAGAGTGCAATGGATGCGTTTAATACAATTTGCAGTGACCTTGGAATCCCTGATGTTCATGACGTTGAAATGCATCCTTGTTCCTTAAGGGAAACAGGAAGGCTCCCCCTGACTTAGTTGGAAGAGCATCACCTCCCCTCCGTGTCTGGGAGTGGTTCCAGTTGAGAGCAGGAGCAGTTTTTGGCTATGCCATCACACTGGCACTGTGCACTGTGCCAGGCTGGGGACACTCCACATTTGCCATGCAGGTTGCCCGGAGGACAGGCTGCCCAGCAGGCTCATGAGATGGCTCAGCAGAGCTGCGGGAGTCAGGCAGGAGGTCACCAGCCCCAATGGGCTCACTGGCAGGGTCAGCCCCACACAGTGGGGGCTCCCTGAATGCCAACTGGTTTTGGAGAGACAGGTGAGGTGCCAATGCCAGGAGCAGGGAAGAGAGAAACCAAGACATCTGCCTGGACCAACACCCCATGGTCCTGCCAGGACCAACAGGATGAAGATGTGCTGGGCCAGTGTAGGGAGAAAGGGCCAAGGAACCAGGGGAGGGGGCAAGGACATTCCAATGTCTGCTGAACTCTTTCCCTGTGACCCACAGGAGGGCTTTTGGACAAGAGCCTGCCTGCATGTCCAGGGGCCATGGCTGTGAATGTGTAACTGCCTGAGAGCCTTTGGGGACGTGCAGCAGCATGCCCCACAGGGTCTAGAGCCCCTGGGACATCAGGCAGGATGGGCATGAGGACTCATCCCCAACTCCTCATCCATACTGGAGACCAGGTCTTGCAGGTGCCACAGGGACCACAGCCATGAGCAGGGATGCGCTGGGAGGGGCTGAGTGCCCAGCACGGCACCAGGACAGGCAGGGTCTGACCCACACAATGTGCCTGGTGAGCAGAGGTGGAGCCATGACTGCTGGCAGGCTCACACTGGGAAAATGACCCCGCAAGGCATTAACAACAGATTGGTAAGAAGTGAAACACTGACATGGATCAGGGACAGAAAATAAAGAGAAGAAGGAAAGTGCATTTTTGCTGTGACAAATGATGCCCCATAACTGGCTCATGACCTGGGGTGCTTGACAACTACCTGGAAAGGAGCGCAAATGGGAAAGTACTTTTCTGTGCAGAGAGTGCCCACTGACCTGGGTCAGACCAGGCATAGAGGAATGAGCAGACAGAGCTCATAGGGAGGCATGTGAAAGGGCAGGGAAATGCAACAGGGAAGGACAGTCAGCAGGGATGGGCCAGGGAGGTTCTGGGGCAGGCAAAAATCCATGGCTGGATCCCGGTTTAGAGAAAAGGTAAGGTGAAGCACCAGAGCTAGCAGCTCATCAACCACCAAAACCAGCTGGCACTTGTGAAAGCAGATCAAAAGGTTCTTCCTTAGGAGAGTCCCTGTGAGGCACATGTTGCTTTCAGTGGGTTCCCCTGCCCCAGTCAGCTCCAACCGGCATGAGGTTGATTATTTCCCACATCTTCTGGGGAAAGGGCTCTTGAGCAGGGACTGAGTCCCAGGAAGCATCTGATGGTTAAACTCAGGCAGAGGTGCTGGCATGAGGCTCTGCATTTTCTGAAGTGCAGGTGGTTTTTTTAAACCAATGCCTTTGCAGAGGGTCTCTCTGTGCTGTGGGAAGGGGCATGGAAAGGCCATCAAGCCCCTCTGATAGTTGCCCAGAAAATAAGATACTTGAAAGTCAAGGCTTTCTAGGGCCCAAATCCTGAGAGACAGCACTTTGTAGACTGCAGTATGCACAGGAGCTTTGTCAAACCTCCCCCAGAGTGGGGAAGTCTAATCAGGCACTGCTGGTTTTCTCCAGGGGAAGATGACGACGACGATGAATGTGGGGAGGAGAAGCTGCCCTCCTGCTTTGACTATGTGATGCACTTTCTGACCGTCTTCTGGAAGGTCCTTTTTGCCTTCGTGCCCCCGACAGACTACTGGAATGGCTGGGCTTGCTTTGTTGTCTCCATCCTCATGATCGGCCTCCTGACAGCTTTCATTGGAGACCTGGCATCCCACTTTGGCTGCACCATCGGTCTGAAGGACTCGGTCACCGCCGTTGTATTTGTCGCACTGGGGACATCGGTGCCAGGTAAGGACAACCACAGGGTTTGTTGTAAAGGCCCAGCTCTGCCCAGTCCAGGTCTGGGTTTGGGCTGGGAAAGCTGTGCTCTGCAGGATCCCGAAGGACAGATTTGGGGTATGTGTGGAAGTTGTTTTTCAGCCTCAGATGAGCCAGGATAGAACCAGGATATGGGTTCAGTCCCAAGGAAGGTATTTCAAGGACTTTTATCTTGCAAAGACTGTGAAGTACCTATTCCTGTGGGCAGCCCGCACGGCATCCACTTTCAGAGTAGGAAGTTGGTCTTTGATTCAAGTTCTGCTTGTGTTGGCAGTCCTGCACTTTCTTTTTATGCATCTGCTGCTTTAACCTTGCTCCTGGATGATTTAAGTGCTAGTCCATACCATATCCAGGCGCACTGCCCAGCACGGACACCTTTGTGTGAGACCACGTTCAGATGGATCAAGATGAGGTTGCTGAGCTGGGGTAGTTGCTTGAAATGCAACTCGGGAAGCCCCTAGAAGGGGCCCTACAAATATTTGGCATGGTGTCTGATCAAATGGGCACTCAGAAGGGAGCAGAGACTGAGGACTGACCAGGGAGAGGGAAAACCACAAGTTTCCATGCCTACACGCCACTCCCAATGCACTCTGGCTTGCTGCAACCCAGCCTCCTTTTCCACTGGCTCAGCAAAGGGCCTCACTTAGGGATGAATTGGTGCACTGGAGAGGATGGTTCCAGTGGCACAGTTGCTCTGGGAATTCGCATGTCAGCTTCTGTGAGAAAACCTGTGCCTTCCACTCACCTCCTTCCATGGGCTGTGCTGGCCAGGCAGAGCCTGGTTCCTGGACTAGGGGCTCTAACCCAACCCAATGCCCCTCATATCGGTCACACCTTCCCTCACCACCTTCAAACTTCCACTTACCAGCACTCAAATGCTCAGAGATCCTGAAGTTGTCCTAATGTTATCAAAGGCAAAAAGAAGAAGCAGCATAACCAAAAGGAAGAACAGATTTGGAGCAAGGAACCCAAATCTGAGAAGATTTGAGAAGAAGGAGCGTTTTTTAGACCTCTGGCAGTAGAGCTTTTAGGCAGGAGGTTTGCAGGGCTGCTTCACACCCTTGACAGTGGAAAAATCTTCCCTCCTGCTTTTGTCAACAAAAGATGGCATTTAAGAAGTCCTTTTTAGAATACATTCAGCTACTCTTGTTTCAACTGGCTCCCAGACCTCTTGTGTTAGTTGGGTGCTAGTTGGGCTCCTCCACACCTGCTTTCCGGGAGACAGGCAGGCATCAGAGGGGTGTGCAGTGAAATCAAGACTGACAGGGACCTTCCCTACATTGAAAACACTGCTCAGGCTTGTGGAAGTGCATGTAGTTTTTTCCACACTCTGGCTGGCACTGGCAGTGTGTCCCATTCCTTCTCCCACACTGGCAGCTGGAGAGCCACAGAGGCATCAGTACTGCCCCACAACTCCATTACTGCACCGTGACCAAGGCTGAGAACCAAGGGAAATACCTTTTCCTTTCCTTAGCAACCAGGTGCATTTCCATGGCAGCTGTGTTTTTTTGTCTAAATAAGGCAGCCTTTTGATTTCTTTGCTGCAAATGAACCCTCTCTCTGTGCTTATATGTGCCCATATATGTTACACGGAATGGGATCTTTGTGCCAAACTGCACTTGGCCATCTCACCTTGGAGCCCCACTGGGAAGGAGTGGGAGGAAAATTCTGTAGAATTAAAACACATGAAATTTGACCTCACTGTTTTCTTTTTCTGAGCCACACTCGGCTGCCTGTACCCAAGGTGATCTGGGAGTGCAGCTATGTCAGAGACTCATCTTCTCTTTGTTAGCTGAGAGCACTCACCTGGAGGCTAGTTCCTCCTGCTGCTGCCTCCCCCTGCAGATCCAGAGTGGGTTTGGATGTAAAATCAGCGCTTCCCTGTGGTGCAGAGCAACATCATGCTGGTCTGCTTGACACAAGGGTTTCCATATAAAAGGTCAGCCAAGTTTTATCACTGGTATTAAAGCCAGTGGAGCACCTGGGCAAGCATGCACATGGTTTTTCTTCCCAAGGGTGAAAGATGACCTCTGGCTTACCAAAAGTGTCAGGGTCACTGGACTTCAGTGAGGCAAAAGATATCAGAAAGACAAAGCAAACTCAGAAACACAAAAAAAACTTCAGGGGACCTGAAGGATAGATACAAACCACTGTGGCTCCGCAAAGCTTTTCCAACCTTTCTAGTTTTTTTGCAAGTGAACAAATTAGTGGATGTGGGAGAAGAGGCCAATGCAGTGTAGTGTTGTCTCTTGCTTGAAGAACTGCAGGACGTCTGAGGCCATAATGGGGGAAGCTGCCTATTTCTGAACATTGAGATTTCCCTCCTGTGCATTTCTGGACCCTGATTGTCACTCTGGCTCTGGCCAGTTGTGCTCTTCCTCAGGAGTGCCCACAGGAGCTGTATCCTGTCCCCTTACCCATTATCTTCTTTCCCCAGGTGTTGCCATTGACATTTGTCCCCAGGCTGCCTGCTGCTCTCCCTCCTTACCTGGATGTTTCCTGAGGGTTTCTCTCTTCCTTTCCTTTGCAGACACATTTGCCAGCAAAGTAGCAGCAACACAGGACCAGTATGCAGACGCCTCCATCGGGAATGTCACCGGGAGCAATGCTGTGAACGTTTTCCTGGGAATTGGGGTAGCCTGGTCCATCGCAGCCATCTACCATGCGGCGCACGGACAAGCCTTCCAAGTCTCACCTGGCACACTGGCCTTCTCCGTCACCCTCTTCACCATTTTTGCTTTTATCAGTGTGGGCGTGCTGCTCTACCGGCGGAGACCCGAGATTGGAGGTGAGCTGGGCGGGCCGCGGACTTCCAAGCTGCTCACATCCTCACTCTTTATCCTCCTCTGGCTCTTGTACATATTCTTCTCATCTCTGGAAGCCTACTGCCACATAAAGGGCTTCTAAAGGGACAATAAGAGATAGTAAATATATGTATATCTATATATATCTATATAGAGTGATATATAGGTATAGATATAGATATAATGCTGTGTATAATGAACAGAGAAAAAGAATAAAAGAGATTTGCCATGTTCACACACCTGCTGATGGAAAGCGGCTTTGGAGCATCCTTTGAACTAGGCAGGACCCCAAAGCCAGCAGGACCCCTCCCCAGGCAGTGGCCCAAGCCAGGAGCCAGGCAGCAGGGCCCTTTCTGCGACTCTACCAACAGGAGCAGCTGATGGCCACCGAGCCCCTTTCCACCGCTGACTCCCACCCGCCAGCCACCTGGGAAGATGGATATGAAGGTGACCGGGGCGCGTCGGTATGAGGAAGGCCAGGGTAGCTGGTGAGAAACAGAGCAGTGGGCAAGGGAAGGAGAGGAAAGCAAGGGTTCTGATCTCCAACCGCCATCCACCTGCCTTCGCCACTCGGGAACATCCCCTCTGGCCCTGTTGGAGAGAAGCAAGAGACCAAACTGAAGGCAAAGGGGAAACTGGGAGCTTTCTAAGGATAGAACACAAACCGTTTTCGTCATTGATTTGGGGTTGGTTTTTTTGTTTTGTTTTGGCGTGTGTACAACTAGCATTTCCCACCCACATGCCCCTCACCTTTCCCTCTCCATGCTTTGGGGATGCACAGCCGCAACCCCACGTCCAGTGTCCTAAGCCGAGGCTGCGTGGGGCGGCGGGGGCTTTCCTCCCGCTTCCTTCGCCTCCTCGGGCATGCTGTCGTGGTACTTGTAACATTTGCATGAATGAAATGAAATCTATCTGTATATAGCAACCTATAGCGATAGTCCTTCCAACCATGTGGGTTGAGCATTGCAGATACAAGCGTTTTTCTTTTCACTGGGTTTTATTTATTTTTAGTTAGTTTGGTTTTACCATAGGGTTTTTTGCTTGTTTGTTTGTTTGTTTCCTCTTAGCAGGGGGTAAAAGGATGGAAAGCTGTCCCCACTTATTGCTTGTTGCATGGGTCCGTGAGAAGCAATAACAGCCATGCAGATGTAGGTTTTCAGGGGAGGAAAACCCACACCCCAGAGACTGCAGACTCTGTCTACCTGTGTGGCTGGGGTCCTCTGACATGCTGAAGCCAGTGTGAAGGGTTCCACTATCCACACAAGGTTTTACACAAGGTCCCAGGGAGCCCGAGTGGGATGAGCAGTCCAAGGGGGACAAGCGTGGCTGACTCCCAGCATCTCCCATGCTTCTGCCTTTATAGTCGGTGGCTGCCTCAAAACCCCTTGGTCCCCTGCTATTCCCTGTATCCCCAGAGGTCTAGTGACAGCCCCTGTTTCTGAGTGTTAAGCCATCAGGATCAGTCCCCAAAGCTGGTCCTTTCCCACAGCCATTTGGAGGCAGAGTAATTCAACATAAGGGCTGAAGGGCCATAAAGAGATCTCCCACTCTGCTGAGTGCAACCGGGAAGCATCCCCTATAGGAAAAGGCCACACTTTGCACTCTCTGAATCCAAAATTGCTGGGGAGGATGAGACAGGGAGGTGTAACTCAGCATCACCCCCCATGCTAGTAGTGCAGGTTGGGGTAGAGAGCTGAGCCAGGGAAGTGTGGGTGTAGAGCTCCCCAGGGCACAGCAGAAAGGAGACATTGTGCACTGGTGTTGAGAGATGTCTTCTTACCCTATGCCCTTTGCCAGGCTTCCTCACATTCCAGCCAGGCAAACTCCCAGCCTGCATGTCCGTGGTGAGCTCTTCCCATTCAGCTGAAAACCATGTCTGATGCTTGTACCATAACCAGCTGGCTGGGGGTATTTGTACTCATTTTGAACTATCTGTGGAAATTTTAATGAATCTGCTGTAAGATTTTCTCTAGGAATATGAAATTGTGGGGTTTTTTTTCTCGAGCCTTTATTTTTTCACTTTTGGTTGGGTTAGGGGTTTTTCTTTTTGTTTTTCATTGTTTTGGGGGAAGAATCAAACACAGGTGCAGGTTGTTCAGGTTTATGATTACCTTTATGTACAATGATTTCATTTTCATCTGTTTGGCTTCATTTTTTTAGTTTGTGTGTATTGCCCACCACTATAGGCAGTGAGTCCACTAATTGTGATGATCCTTATCAATGGTACACAATGCACAGAGAAATAAAGTTTGTAATGATTCCTGATGGACCCAGTACTGCTCCTGCATATTCTCTATGGAAAACCCTTCTCTCCCCTCCAATTGTTTTCCCCTTTGTACCCATCTCTCCTTTACTCATTGGTTTGCCTTCACCATGTTTCTGCCACTGACAGGGGTAGTGGTGCTTTGCACACCCTCTCCTGCCCCATCTCACACCTTTCCTCCTGCTCCATCTCCATGGTGCCTCAGGCTCGGTATGCTGCCATACAGCTGGGGCTCACAGCCCGCTCCACCCTCAGGGGGATGCAGGAAACCACCCAGGGACAAAGCTGCAGTGCAACCCACCCTTCTGGGTTCAGGAGTTGCTCCTGTGCTGGGTCTCTCGTCAGTGCTGGCTTGCCCTAGGCTTGAGGACAGCCGTGCCTGTGCCCCCAGGGTACTTAGCAGCTCTTTCTGGTTGTGTCTTCTAGTTACATGGAGCTGCTCATGCTGTTGCTACAGCCTCACAGTGACTTGCTCTAGGTTAAGCCACAAGCTAATTATAAGGGAGGGTGCATTACCAGGGCAGGGTGCATGGGTGCCAAAGCAGATCTGAGACACCCCATGAGGTCACCAAGTACATCTGGAGGTTGAGCTGCTCTCAACAGCTGCTTTTGACTATGCCCCTGTCCAGGAGTCATGGGCCATTTCAGACCCAGCTCAGCCAGCACTGAGGAGGAGAAAAGCCTCTGCATGCCCGGGGATGTTGCTCCTCCCTGTGTTTCAGGCAGCCTCTGTTGAGTTGTCCCCAAATAAACCCTCCCCAGGTCCTGCTCTGGCAGCTGAACTCCAACACCAGCTCAACCCAGGTCTGGAGATGGGTCCCAGGCAAGCACTGCCTTCATCCAGTGGGGCTCTCCTTGAGCCTCCTGGTGGGGTGTGTGTGCTCCCAGGGTCCTGCCCATGCTCCTGCCTGTCTGCCAAGCAAGGTCAGGATGGAGCCGCACAGCTGGTCAGGATGGCACCAACAGCAGTGTCTGACTGTCAAACTCCAGGCTAGAAACGTGCCACCAGGCAAAAAGAGAAAGGGTAGGATGTGGCTGATTTTATTGCAGCATGTCTATGTCTGTAGAGGCCCAGAGGCACTAGAATTCCCACTTGCCAATGCAAGGGGATGTGTGGCAGAGCAAGTAACTAACACACCTGGCAGCCAAAGGATCTAACATGATCCCTGTGCTGCTCTCAGACGAATCTGGCCCTTCCCCACACCCTGTGCTGCTTTTGGCCAACCATGCTGCCACTTCACTCTCCCTGTGGGTGCTCAGCACCCTCCCGGATGAGTGTGAGTCAAACTCCTACACTCCCCAGGCCAGCAGTGAGCATGGCCAGTCACGTTTATGTGCTTTTCACAGGCAGTGGATTGTGAAAGCAAAGCAGCTCTTCTGACCCAGTAATTGCTTCTATTGAAAGGTGATGTTGGTATTTTGCTCTCATCATTTGCTTCTTCAGAATGAATTGTAGTCACTAAAGTAATTATCCAGCCAAATGGGACTTGCGTAGCCACTCAGGTTAACAGACAGTAAATAACTGTTTGCTCACAGAGCTTTCCAAAGGAAATGATGGAGCAGTGCTTGCTTAGGGCAAGGCTTAAATCACAGGGTAAACACCAGCCCTGTTTATGCAATTACTCCCTGCCAGCTGTGTGCTTTTTGGCATCCTCAACGAGGTTGTGCACAGCGCGATGTGTGTGTGCCCAGTGCTCATGGAGGAGTCATGGGTGAGCAGCAAGGGGAAGAACCGCTCCACTGAGCCCTAGACACCGGCCAGTGTTCCCAAGGGTGCCATGCCTGCTCTTCTGCACCAGCCCTCTCTTTAAACTATACTCTCCGAAGGCAAAAGCAAACTGCCTTCCTCCAGAAGACACCTGCACTGGCTGGCACACTGCTGGGAGGCAGCAGGAGGAAGCACAGTCCCCAGCACAGGCACGTCTTGCTGTTGTGCCTGCCTGCCTGCCCAGTGGGCCACAGCTCAGCTCCCCGGGTCCCCTGTCTCATGCCAGTGTTCTCCCATCTCCTCTTCATTCCTGCCAGCCTCCCCACCCTCCCTCACAAGGGAAGGATGTGGAGTATCTCTGATAAAGGCCTGGGTTCAGAAATGTTGCCAGAAACAGCAGTTTAAACTCTTGGCCTCCATCCATCTACCTGCCCTGTTTGCTCTCACTGCCTTTCATCACCCCACTAGCCAAAGGCAAACTTTTCCACAGAAAAGGATGCAGCATGGTGCAAAGGACATTCAGAGGCAGACACCCAAATAACTCCACAGGCCACTGCAAAGCACTTGGGGACAAGCAGAAGGAACACACCAGAGACAGCCCTAAGCATCTTGGAAAAACCACATTCCCAGCTCTTCAGGGGTCAGCAGGAGTGGAGGCAAATCCCAGCCACAAACTGAACACATGAAAAAAGTGAAAAAAAAAAAGAGCTGCAAATCAGCAGTGTCACATGGCTGAGCCCACCCGAACTGCTACCTGTGCCAGGGCAGCACAGGAACCGCTCCCTCCAGAGATGTGAATCCCTCATCTCCAAACAAGGCACCTGTCCATGTGTCACCCCTTTCCAGGCAGCCTGTGGTGCCTCTGGGATGAGGGACAATCACAAGAGTCATTTGTGCATCTTCCTCTCCGCTCTCATCGCTTCCTTAAACGACAAAAGGGAGAGGGGAGGCCTTGAGCCCGCTCTGGTCACGAGTCTGGCTGCAGTCTGTAAACTCATCACGCTATTTCTGCTACGGGCAGGGACTGGAGAACCAGAGCCCGTATGTTATTGTTACAGCTATTTTTAAATGCTTGGGTAAGAGTCAAGTGCAACAGTATTGGTGGTCATATTCATAACTCAGGAGGAGACTCAGCTACATTCCTGGAGGGACAGAGCTGGACATAGCCAGAAGGCAATGGAGAGAGAGAAAACAGGGAAATCTTAATGCTGGATGGTGTCATTCCAGGAGAAAGCCTTGAATTTTTTTCTGTAGGCTTTGGCACTCAAGCCCACTTGGGGAAGCACGTTTGCAGAGCACCAGGGACCTTTCTGGCCTCTCTTAGTGTGCAATGACCAACTACTATGATGCTTATACACACGAGCTGCACAGCTGTAGAAAAGCCTGTTTATCTTGTAAAAAAATTGACTTGCATAGGAAAGCATCCAGAGACATCTGTATTCTTGCAAAAAGCACCAAGGGACAATAAATACAGTGAGATTCCTCACCTTTTATGGACTTGAGCCTTTCTGCTTTTGGAACTAGAGGTGCCAAGAGCCTCTCGCCAGACAGCAACACCCCTCACGCAGAGGGAAGGGACACTGCAAGGGAAAGGAATCTGTCTGGCCAAACAGGAGCTGTTATCAGCAAAGACAGAAGCTTGCTGCTACTAGAAGGATTTTCTGCCTGTGGTATGCCCCTGAGAGCATCCAAGAAGTCTCCATAGGCTCTTGCTGTCCGTCTGGAGCATCTCAAGAACAACCAGCCCTGCCCTCTGAGGCCCAGTGTCCTCAGGCTGGTTTACCGCCCTCTCCTGCAGGCTCTGCACCCTCCCTTGGCTCCTTCCCCCTTCCCAAAGTTGGATGCCAGGCTGTGGCTCCCCTCACTAGAAGTGTGGAAGAGGGCACTGTGGTGCCTACTGTTCCCAAAGCAGGTGCTGTGGAGCACTGCTGAGCGGTGGAGCTGTGTGCTGCTGGTGGGGTGCCCAGCGTTAGAGGGCACAGGGAGGGGAGAAGTGCTGTGGGGTCCCACACAGATCTGGAAACCTTGTTTTAGGCACTGCCACAGCATGTCCCTCTGCCCCAGCTACCATGGGTATGGACATGCATCTTGATTTCTGCACAGATACAGCACAGCCTTTAGCTTTTTTGGCTGCCTGTGGGCACCAACCCCAGACAGTACTTTTATCTGTTTGATTCAAAACAGCCCTTGGCCTGTTGAACTGCACTAGAAAAGCTTTCTGCCCCTCCCAGCACACAGCTCCACTCCAGTTCAGGTAGCAATGGTGACCATTTGTGATGCTCCAGGAGCACATGCCACCTGATGCTGGGGTCCTCCAGCATCTGCCTTGAGCCATCTCCAGGTTCCAAAATGACTGTCTGTACACAGTGATAATCCAGCCTGGCCTTGCTTTGTGCTTGCCTGGCCTTGCTCTGTGCTTGCCTCCCCTGTAGAGTCTCTTCACATGCCATCTTCTTCCAGGCTCCCTGCAGAGAAGCAGTCTCTCTGTCCCTCCTGCCCCACAGCTGGGGGCTTCCTGTGTTGAGACAAGTCTCCTTTCTCACTGGAACAAACAACAACACTTGTTAGCTCAGGCTTGCTGTCTGTGTCTCAGGACAAAGATTAACCACCCCATGTGGTGGACTTGAGCCCCTACAAACCAAGGAGCAAGGCAAACTTCCATGCAGCAGAGGCAAAGCTCAGCATGCTGAGCCCCTCCTGCTCATCACCCAGGCAGGGTTACAGCCACTACCCACAGGCACAGTTTCTATTGTGCCACTGTCTTTCATTCATGAGTCTGTGGAAGATTAAACACTTTTTGCTGAATTTCCACAGTTATCAAGTCCTACAGATGCTCCAGCTCCACCTCCCAACCCAACCCTGCCTCTACATTCCAGAACAAACTAATTGCTTTGACTGGAGTTACAAGACTTTCCTGCCCCTGCTTAAAATGGGCACAGCTTAAGTAGAGCAAGTTGCAATGGCTTGGGATGTTTATCCACTCTTAGAGCTCCTAAACCCTTGCAGGATGTGGAAGACTGACACAGAGCTCTCTCCCTGCACCTCCTGACCTCTTTGTTGAGGTGGGATTTATTTCCTCTCCTTTACTTCTGACTCAGAAGAGACTCTTTACAGATGATAGCAGAGTGAGACCTCCATACAGTTCAGCCTTGTTGCTCTGTTTTCTTGACAGAAATTGCCATTGCAGTCCATGGCACTGTCATCCCCAGAAGTGTGTGCCCTCTACCCCAGCCCACAGGCTCCTCACTTACAGAAATCTGAGATTCTGGCAGATGAGCTTCTTTGCGGAGATACTTCAAAATGAGGAGAGTTTCTGAGTCACTGTAAAATTGCTGTGCTGGCACAGGATAGATTGCATCCTGGTGGTGCAAATGTGTCTCAGGTTGCTATCAAGCTTATTTGGGAACATTAATGAAAGCATTTGCAAACTAGTGGCTTTGTGACTCCCAGGGATGTAGCGAACTGTGCAACTGGATTTCCCCTTGCTCCGTGTAATGCTGAGATGTTTCCCTTGCCTCTTGCCTTCAGCTATAGCCCTGTACATTGCCCTGTCCTGTCCTTGCAATAAAAGCTGTCATTAGGTACCCCTTGGTTGAACTCCCCCTGTACAAACGAGAATGAACAGATGCCTGTTGTGTCTTCATTCGTTTGCCCCATGTTGCTTCCTTCATCTTCCGAGCTCTTGAGAAAAACATGCTCATGCAGGGAGCCTTGCAGGAGACCTGCTTGTCTTGCTCTTAATCAGGAAGCATGCACTTCTTTCAGCAGCTCAAGAGAGCAATAGATGGCAATAATACCTCTTACATTACAGTCACCATGTTAGCAAGGAAGAAAATGTTATTTATTTTTTCCCTGACAACATTTGTCCTACTTCTTTTTTCCATAATGCATTAAGCATTAGGAGGCACAGCTCTGCACGTAGTCCAGCTCTCAAGACTACCTGTCGAGGACATTGTTCAGCAACCCAGCACAGTTTTATTTGTGGATGAAGGGCAGAAGTTGGTGAATTCTCCTACAATCCCTAGCTGGAAGAACACAGACATGCTAGTAAAACCCACAAAATGCAAGAGTTTGGTAAATTGCAGCCCTCTGTATCCTGGGTCTCTGTGCCAAGGAAACCTGGCATGAGGTTGTAAAATCCAAACCATGAACTTCCTGAAGACCACTCAGCAGTGATGGGCATCTTTACACCTACTGCTGTCCCTCAGCTACTTGGAGAGGTCTGTGGTATACCTGGTGTTCACCAGGTGTGAACAACACCACTAATAAAGAGAGAAGAGGACACGGAGGATACCACATTCTACCTCCCACCCCCAAAACAAGCCCCTGGGATATTCCCTGCAAAAAGCAGTCAGACTGCCAGGAGCAAAGCAGTCATGGGGAAACGTCACACATCTCAAAGGCGGCAGGTTCCCCACGGTACTCTCTCTCTGCTGCTCCCCACATCGCTGCCATGAGGGAAGAGCCACTCACAGCCCAGCACCGTGCAGGCAGAGCCAGAGGAGAGGCATGAGCTCCCCATGCTTGATCATGGGAGCATCAGCCCTGGTTTCAGCCAGGGAGGCCTGCAAGGAGTGGCCATGATATTTTGAAGGAGAGCAAAATGAGATGGGAATTAGTAAAAAAATTACAGTAGTGGTAATTTAGATCAATTACTAATTTTCTGCATTAATGAAGAGGTCCAATTATCTCAATGCTTGAGTGACCACTCCAGTTCTCAAAAGTCATTTCTGCACACTTGAACAACTGCTCCTCCTTCTAGAGTAAAAATCAGGCTATTGTTGTGAGCCTGGAGAGAACATGGAAACACATCTTTCCTGGCAGAGATGTAATCCATGTCAGAAGCTTCTTCCACTGTCCCACTCAGGAGTGGAGGGACGCTCAGGCAGGGAGCTGGCAGCTGCCTGCACAGCCTGTCCCAGGGTTGCTGGACGCTCCCCATGGTTGAGGCACCAAGGATCCCCTGGAACAGCAGCATGCAAGAGAGAAAGAGCTCGAAATGGCTCTGGGCCTAAGAAGTGAGGGGAACAGCTGGTGGCTGGATGCATCCCATGAGGCAAGGCAGGCAGCAGGCGAGTGGCCCTGCAGCACAGGTGACTCCCCCCACAGGCACCACATGCCAGGGTGGGGACGGCACTGCCAAGGCAAGTTGTCTTCTGGTATTTTGGATGTGCTGGAGCACATCAACGACATGCTCCAGATATAATGGCTCTAGCTTTCCTGCTCCCCTCTGACAGCCACCCCTGTCCCCCTGCTCAGCAGCCTGAGGGGAGCTCCCCATCACCCCAGGAGCAGCAGGGGGGAGGCAGGCGGGGAGGAGGCTGCAACCACCCTTCCTGACGCACCCAAAGCACCAGTCAGCCCAGCCACAGTCATCCTGTGTTACCCATCATCCTGTGTGTCCTCCACCTCACAGCCACAGGGCACTCTAGGGCAGACAGACATCTTGTGCAAACCTTGACAGAGAGAGGGGGGGTGGGGAGGAGGTCTCTGACAGCCCAACTGGCCCCCTGGTCCCCCTGCCAGGGACAGGGCAGGCAGACCCCAGCTGGGCAGAGCCAAATTTTTTCAAAGCAGGGCTGAAAGGAGAGTTTGCAGAAGAACTGGTTTGCCTGGTGACAGGAACCAGAGCACTGGTCATAAATTCAACTCCACCTTCCCTCTGCCACCTCTGCCGTGCTTGGTGCCACGAGCTAACACTGCCCCAGCAATGCAGAGCCCCTGTGCTGGTGGGTCACAGCTGGGTCATCCCTGGGCTCAGCAGCTGGAGCCTCCCAATCTCTCTGTCTCTGTCATAGTTCCTCACAAATTCAATGGCACAATGCAGCTACACTATATGAAAAGCCATAATATTTGTTGGTATGACTCTTTTATTACTGTCGATTTATATATATATTTGTTGATAAAAGAAGTCATCTTGGGAGACACTTCTAGTCTACTGGGAAATAATTGTCCAATGTTGTATATTCTGTACATGCTGTATAAACAAAGCAAAACATTTAAATCTAAGTGTTTGTTGGACTCGGTGGCATGTGCTGCAGAGGGAGACTGGGACCAGGCAAGCCCCCTTCTTGGGCCACCATGGCTCAGGCTTGGGGTTCCTGGCAGAGTCACCATCCTGCTGGGGTCCTAGAGACAGTCTGGGGCAGGATCTGGCCACGGTGCAAGGGCGAAGCCTGCAGCTCCCTCGGTGCTTTTTCCCGTGCAAAGGTGAAAGGAGGCAACTCTGCGAGTGGAAGCTGCTGCACTTGAGCTCCCTCCTGGGGCACAGCACAGGACCGGGGAACGGCTTGGTTCCCCCCCAGGAACTCTCAGCACAGCAAGCCCGGTGTCACCCCCTGCTCCCCAGTTCTCCTGCCCAGGGAGGACACCCTTCAGCCACCACCCAGCACGACATCTCTAAGCCTTAGGGGTCAGAGAGAGACGATTCCCCATGGGAAGATGGCTGGTGATGGCAGAGACTGGCTCCGAGTATCCGGCTCCTCCAACTCCTTCCCACGCTAATCCTGTGCCAGGGCGCCAGCCACCCTCCCTGGTGTGTTTCACAGCAGCCACGAGCTGTGATCTTCTAACCTGACACACGCTGTTAGAAAACTTGTTTCATATTTTCCGTGGTATCAATCTACAACTTTTGAAATTATTGGACACAGTCGTGGTAGCCTAAAAGTTGTGCTGAGCTCATATATTTTTATATTTGTGGTGTTTTCCTATTAATAGAGAGTAGTGAACCAGTAACCCTATAGCTGAAAGTGATCTATTCAAAATAAATATATGACTGCAGAAAATATTTGTAAAAATAATTTATTTGAAATATTCTGCCAAAGATAGCTCTCTAATGATCTGTAAAATGTCGTTTCTCTCTTTTTGCTCTGAATGTCATTGTGAAAGGACCTTTCTCCCCACATCTTTTGAAGATTTTTTTTTTTTGTATCTTTAAGGGCAAAGAAATATGCCAATGATTTTTTTACTAGAGCAGTAAATAGAGTAGTAGGGAGGCACAAGACAACTTTGTAAAGGTGATAAAAAGGATCCATAACAATCATGCTGAAAATCCGGTTTCTCCCATAGTTACTCTGGCTGACAGATGGGTTTTGAAGCCCGGGACAGTTGTCCAGCAGGAAGGTCTTGGCTGCTGCTGCTGTGGCTGCTCTGTAGATTACCTGAAGGAGAGAAATCTCTCAAGAATCCATTTGCAGGCTTGGGGCATTTGGATTCCCTCATATCCAAACTTCAGCTTCTTCATTATTTATATCCTTATTGGCCCTCAACAGGCACATGGGGAACCCTCACCCAAGGCTTCAGACTGACGAAGTCTGGCCCCTTCCAAAGCCATTCCCACAACACACCTGGCATCTGCCAGCAGCCTTGAACCAGTGGCAGAAGTAATCCTGCTGATGCCCAGATCTGTCCCTTTCCTCACACGGGGATGGGACAAGGGAGACCCAGCCACCACGGGACATGACACCTTAGCAAGAGGATCCATCCCTGCAGGTATCCAGTTAAAACAGAGGGATGTACAGCCCTTCACCAGGGAGAAGCTGCCTAGATTAGTCTTTTCAGAAATTACTAATTATTTTTATTGTAGAGAAAAATCTTCTTTCTCTTCTTCATTTCTTCCTTTTGAAAGAACTTTTCAATACTAGAAAAAGCCTTCATTATCTTATGTGATCCCCAGGTCTGTTGCAGTGGAAATACATCCTCAGCCACATTAGGCACCACCATATCAAAGAGATTTTTGGCTCAGATTTTTTTTGTTTCTGAGCAGATTTACAGTTTCTTGAATGTCTTGGTCATAAAGGTCTGGAGGAATTAGTCGGTCATAAAGCAATGAAAGGTCTGTTCCAGTGAATGTGTTTCCACATGCAATTCAACTTCTGACTCCCCAAAGGTCAGGCACGTGTGTAAGTGCTTTACTGGGCAGGTGCCCAGAATCAGAGATGGGAAAAGCAGTTTCCAAGCCATGGGGTGCGTATGGGTGTGATGGGAGCACTGCTGTCCATCAGGTGTGGGTGGCACACTCTGCAGCAGTGGGATCCACATGCCAGTGAATCTTTGTTCCTCTGTGCAAGGAACTCTCTGAATCCGGGGTTGTGCAGCTGCTGCATCACGGGGAAATGCGAGGCAAGCCAGGGAAGACAATAGTGAGAAGAATTGGGTTTCTGATCACTGTGCATTTTGTTAATTAGTGAATTCAAATAGTTTTATTTTTACCAAAAACAGATAATCTTTATTCCAGTAAAGACAACTGTTGACTTGAGATATATATATAAATATATATATATAATTTGAATGGTTTATATCCTGTTGCTCTAACTACATAAAATGGAAACATGTTGCAAGTTGTGTCATTCCAATGTACAAAATAAATTACTTTTCCCTGCATGCTGCCTGGGTATGTTGTGATTTGAATTAAGAGTTATATTTGAATTGCCTTATTCAAGAGGTTGTATGTTACCTAACTGGGGAATGACCTGGCACTGTTCATCACATTACATTTGTACTTGATGCTGTGTTATGTCAAATTCAGATGAGTTGTCTGTCATCTATGTATTTCGTGGGAGACCTTTTATCTTGTTAAACTGTGATATGTAAACCTTCATTGCCTGAAATAGTCACAGTTGTATAAATCAGTGTCTTCAGCTGTTTTCCTAATTTTATCACAATTCCTAACACAAAATATAGATGTTTGTAAATTCTCCATTCATTTTGTCTATTTTTATGTATGAGGCTTTTTTTAATCTGGCAAAGCAGTAAGATAAGGCGGCTTCCCCAGAATTTTTCAATCAAGACTCAGTTACATTTTTATCCCTCGGCAAGAGGCAACAACCAATTTTCAGCAGCTACAATTGGAATTAGGGATGTCTGTTTATTGCTATTATCTTTCCTGGCTCAGATGGGCCATTATCACTGCAGAACACAATGATTAATGACAAGCCAAACGTGATGCTTCTGCAGTGACAGCGCTCTGGGGACCAGGCACTCCACAGCACCTTCTTCAGGCCCTACACCTCTGCTGTGCCACAGGCTGGGTGGGAAGGGAGAGGGTGGGTGCCCCTGACACAGTCAGACAGCCCAGAGGAGAGAGGGGAGAGATACTGCTTAATAATCCTGGCTCCAGGATGCTTTTCCTCCTTACAAAAACCCCAAGACCATGCCATCTGCCGTCCTGCACGACACCTCAGCCACAAAGCTGCCCCTTGTCCATTCATTTGCCCCACAGCTGCAGCACGTTGCTGAAGACCAACATCCCATCCTGATATTGTATCGAGCAAAATCCCCCACCACGGCTACTCCTACAGCATTTGCTGAAGCTACACAGGGTTTTTTTTTTCTAGCTTTGGTTTCCAGCCATGGGATCACATTACCCCATGGCTGGCTAACAGCAATGTGCTCCCCATCTAGACACTGGTATACCCCATACAGGTCAGATCCTTTGGAAAACATGCCGCACTCTTGAAGGAAGCAGCACCATGTAGGCACAAACCTGTTCCAGTGGTGGCACAAGGACAAGATGACCCAATACCCCCTGCAGCAAAGGTCACTAGTTCTGCTGTGTTACCCCTCCTGTGCCCCACCAGACAGACAAAACTGGCTACAGCACAGCCAGGAAACAGGTCTGTTTGGGAAACAAATGCCCATTAGTCCATCTCCAGCTTGCAGGTGACTGGAGCAGTTCTGGACATTTTAACCCCACGCCTAAAATCCCAAATGAAACAGTTGTTGAGATCATTAAAACACTCTTGCCAGAGCCAGAACACAGTCCCTGCTCAGTTGTGCAGGTGCCACATCATCGTAAACACAAGCAGCATAAATGTCTCACACACACAAAGCACACCAAGGGTGTCTCGGTCCTGGTGTGAAAGCCCCACCGTCCTCTCCCCACTCTTCCAATTTTGACTGCAGTCACACAACAGTGCTGCACAAAACACTGCTCAGTTTTTATGTCTAGTAACCATAAGAAACACATGGTCGGAGAAATAAATTACTGGAGCAGGATATGCCATGGTCCTGGATTATTGAATCTCTTCAAGGGTTTTGACTGTTAAAAAACTTCCTGTCCCATCCAGAAACGCACCCCCCTTTTTTTTTTCTTTTCCTCCTTTTATTTTTGGCATGTTTCAGGTTGAAGAACACTGCTGTCAAAAGCACTGGGAAGGGCTGGGGTGGTGCGGGGAGGAGGTTGCCAGAGGCAGCCAGACAGCGCCTTAACCACTCGGGGTCTCTCAAAGTGACCCCAAGGGTGCCCAAAAGCCGCACCGGTGTCGCCCAGGGGCGCCGAGACCGGCATAACTCAGCGCAGGGAACGCCGGTGAGCGGGAGCCGCCGGAGGCCACGCCCCCCCAAGGCGGCCCCCATTGGCCCCACACCGCCCCGCCCCGCCCCGCCGGCGGCTCCCATTGGCCCCGCGCCGCCCCGCCGGCGGCCCCCATTGGCTGCAGTTTCCGCGGGTTTCCGGCGCGCGCGGCAGCGGGATGGCGGGAGAGCGGGTCATGGAGCTGGTGCGGGAACTGCACCGCGCCACCGGCGGGCACCTCCCGCCATTCCGGGTGAGCAGGGACGGGGCGACCGGGAACGCCGGGAGCGGGAGGGGCCCCGCTCTCGCTGACTGTGTCCCGTGTTGCAGACGGAGGGGCTGCGGCAGGCGCTGGAGGAGATGCGGGCGCTGTACGAGCGGAACCAGGCGGATGTGTGAGTGTTGGCGCGTCCCGCAGAGCCCGGGAGTTGCCCACCTCTGGCCTTATCCTCCTCATCGTCCTCTTCCTCATCCTCCAGGTCCGAAGCGAAGTCGGGACGGACGGACCTAATTTTCCTCATCCGGTTCCGGCACTGCTGCCTGCTCCGGAACCAGCGCTGCCTCCTGGCCTACCTGTGAGTGCGGGGGCGGCCGTCGGTGCCGCGGGGAATCAGTTTACCCCCGCCGGCACAGGGTCCCCAGGGGCAGGGTGTTGGGTCTCTCGGCCCGAGCAGGTGGTTCCTCCGCGAGGTGCGGGGCTAGTTCTCCTTGTGTTCATTGCCGGTACCAAGAAAGAGAAGGCCCTGCTTCCCTCTGCTCTTTAAGAGTTTTCATTATGAATAGGCCAAATATCACAGGTGGAATGACCCAAGTGTTTGCTCTCTGCTCTGAGGGCAGACTGGGGCATCATTGTTGCCTGGGGATGTTGCCAGCACTCACCTCAAGGGTGCTGGGTTTGCCCCGTTTCTTCCCCCAGGTACGACCGGCTGCTGCGGATCCGAGCGCTGAGGTGGGAGTATGGCAGTGTCCTGCCAAACGCCATCCAGTTCCACATGTCAGCTGAGGAAGTGAGTCAGCCTTGTTTTAAACTCTTCCCCCCCCACTATAAACACGATGCTTAACGTGCCTTTCTGTAAATACTTATTTGTTTATTCATTGTCTATGGGTACAACCCCAAATGGACACTGAGTGCACTTTTTAATGCACTTTTAAGGATCAGGTGATCTCCATTAGATCAGACTCACAGAGAGACCAACAGAACCAGGTCCGTATGTGCTGCTCTCAAATGCCATCTCTAGACCAACGTACAGAGCTGCTGACATTAGCAGCATCTGTCCTACCCTGAATCCAGATTGCTCTGCCTCAAGGGTGCTTTTTCCTTTTTAGAAGAGCTTGTATTCGTTCACCTTTGGCTGGCAGGAGCATGCTTGGGAACAGTGGTCTGACAGCACAAATAAACTAGATCTCATTCATCAGGGACCTGTCTTTCAGCATTAGCTGTTTGGCTTTGACTGAGGGATCACTGTTACTGCCCACAGGTGGAGTGGTTCAATCGATACAAAAAGTCTCTGGCTACCTACATGAGGTCAGTAGGAGGAGAGGAGGGGCTGGACCTTACACAGGACATAAAACCTCCTAAAAGCCTGTACATTGAAGTAAGTGCAAGATCTGTGGTTTCCGTCTGTGAACAAACATTTACCCGACCATCTTTTTTTAGAGAACTTTATCCCCATCCCATGTCAGTTCATTAAGCAAAGCCTCTGAGAGCACCAAAGCTTCCACAGGCTTCTGGATTTTACTCTGCCAGCGTTTTACTCCTACTGAGGGCACAATGTATGGTCAAAGATGGTATTTCTAGTCTGTAGGGCACTTGTGATGGGGTGAGTTATCCAGTGAGAAGTTTCTGCAGCTTTTTGCAGAAACTTAACCAACTCTCAGATCAACTAGAAACCATGTTCCCACGTTAAGGACTGTTACCTAGGGGGTTTTGTTGTTTTTTTTTTAAATGGACTCTTATAGATGAGACTATAAATTGCTTTACGCAATTGATACAACAAAACAAGAGCATGTGAGAAATCACAGTCAGTAGCTGAAGTGCTCTGTTCTGATATTCTCTTAAAAAAAACATGTAGTGACAATAAACCTGCTCCTTAAGCAGTTTCACCGTTAAAACAGATTGGCGTTTTCTGGTATGTTTGTGGGGAGGGGAGGGTCACCAGTCCCTATCTGTTGTGCTCCTCTTCCTCAAGTTTCTGGAGAGACTGGGCTCTTGTTCCAGGCAGAGGCAGGAAGAGAACATCAAGGTGGAGCCCACAGACCATGGGCACTGATCCATGGGATCAGTTCAGTTCTGCATTTCTAGGTCTGCTCTGTACTGAGACTCCCCCAGGCAGGGAGCAGTGTGTCCATTCTCACAGTCCTGGGGCACGTGTTGCAAGCCAGCAGTGATGTATAGTGTTTCTATGGCAGATGGGGTGATCTGGGAGCTGTGTTTCTGCTTCGCAGGTGCGGTGTTTAAGAGACCATGGAGAATTTGAGATTGATGATGGGACTACCATCCTGTTGAAGAAGAACAGCCAGGTACCCGTGACAAATGTGGTCCATTCTCTTCCTTCCCTTTCACTCCCATAACATCCCCCTGCTTATCCCAGCTTTGCAGCATGTCACAATCCCTGCACACACAGCTCCCTGCACATGCTGCAGGCTGTCTGCATGGCCCAGACTGCAGCTCTGCCTGGTCTGGTACCATGATGCAGTGGATATATAGCCCAAAAAACAGAGCTGGCTATGTGGAGCAACAAATCCAACAAATTCAAGGAAAGTTCTCCTGTGTTTCTGTGCAGCACTTTTTACCCCGCTGGAAATGCGAGCAGTTAATCAGACAAGGAGTCCTGGAGCACATTCTGTCCTAAGTGTGGAGGACAGGAGGGACAACTCTTGCTTGGTGGCCTGCCCACAATGGGGACTGAACTGTAGTGTGTGCAGCACTTCAGACACCTCAGCATTTCTGCAGTGGCACCCTGCCACTCATCCCAACAGCCTTTGGTGCCTTACCTGAAGATCAGCCCTATATTATGCAAACCACATTGGCCACCCCTCTGGGAGGAAATGGTGCATACTGGTAATGTAGTGATCCTGGGAATCTGGGGGGTAGGAAGGGGGGAGCAGGGCGTTATCCAAGCCCCAGAGCTACAACTAGCATTTGTAAATGCATTTTTGTTTGGAGTAATTGATTGTTCATGTGGGAGTAAGACACCAACTGGCTGGGCTCTGGAAGCCAGGAAAGCTCCATGGTTGCAAAATAAAGAACTGCTTCAGCCTTCACTGTAGTGGTTTTTAAGAGTTAATGTTGTGTTCATTAAGCACTCTGATCTGGGTCCCTAGTCAAACCTGTCCTGACCCTGCAGCGTGATGGTTAAAGTGTCTCAGTGGAACTGTTCCTCCAAGTGTCAGAAAAGGCTGTGCAAGCTTCTTTCCAGGATTAGACACGAAACCTTGTCTCACATCAGAGACCTATAAATGTTGTTTCTTGAGGTGCAGTATGAATGAGCACTGCAATCTGGGTTTCTCCCAGCACGCCTGGGCTTCCCCAAGCACTGGTCTGGCAAGGCCTAGGGACTGTTTGGTGTAGGGGTGGGAAAGGGAGCAGAGGGTTTAAAGGATTGCAGTTAGCACAAAACCAGAACAAGGCTGAAGAGCTGCTTTCCCTGTCTGGTTTTCCTAATGGAGCTGCTCACTCTTGAGAAGTGGCTGAGAGAACACTTGCAAAAACATTAGCCCTGGCTCAGACTAGAGGTTTGCTTAGCCCCCATCTCAGACTGGAGCTGAAAAAGCAAACAGTTGGGGAAGAATGCAGGAACAGGATAAATGCTTGGGGTGCTACTGCATTGCTCTCCCACCCTCAGCCAAGCAATATCCCTGAGCCCCTCTGTGGGGCTGCCCTCCTTGTAACAGCCCAGCTTCACCTTGTGGCCCTTGTACTCAGAGCTGCCCCCAAGGCAAAGAGAAATGTCAGCTCTCAATGCATCAGGGCAAAAAAAGTACAGGTAAACCAAGGAGGCCTCCTCAGTCACAGCCTCCAGTCATCTCCAAGCCTGGCCCCAGGGCCAGGGAACTCTGCCCTAGCAGGCTGAGGGGCAGCCTTAAACACAGTGCCTCAGTTTCAGCTCACAGCCAATTTATCCTCTTTTGTTCCTGAACCAACAACACTATGAGCTATTTTTAAGCCCTCTTTGTACTGACTTTGTCCAGCCTCTGCACTGGTACCCTGAAATAGTCAGGCTTGTCTAGTCTCTCCTACAGTTTTCTCCATAGCCCCCAAAATCCTACGAGTCCTTTCACAGGGAGTGGCAACCACAGCCCCTGTGTAAATGTCCTCTGCTCTGGACATTGCACTGGGGCAATGATGCACCTTCCATGCAGAGGGGAACACCCTGGGCAGAGCAGTAAATTTGGTATTTGCTGATGTGAACACTTGGCCTTTTAGACAACTTACTTTGGCAGTAGTACTCACTGTCAGTGTGTAGAGGCCACCAAGGAAGGGAAGAGCACAGAGTTCAGTTACCACGTCTCCTGGTCTCCTCTGAAGTGTGCTGAGTAGGGGTCACCAGCCCTCATCAAGCCCCAAGCCTTGGAGGCTGTGCTGGTTTAAAAGTTAACCAGCAAGGCAAAATGAACTCAATTCA